TCATCAGCGACGGACAGAGATCGTGCTCCAGAAGCACAGCCTCCTCCTGAGGCACCTGCAAGCTCGGAACGGAATGTGAACGTGTTTTCTGCAGCGGCCCCTAGGGTCGAGGTTGGTGGCTACGAGTTCTCTCCACCTGAAGATCTTCCAGAACCAAGAAGCACAGCAGAGGTGCTCAGTCAGACTTTCTGGTTTGCAAAGATTGGGGAGTTTGTTCAGAGGAGGGTGGCCCAAGCCGGAGCTGCCATGACTCCTATTTTGGAGTCTGGACCTAGAAGGCCGATGCTGAGGCAAGTTCTCACGCCGCCTCCTCGCTCGCAGAGATTGTTCACTCCAGAGGCCGAGCAGACTATGTCTCAGTGGACAAGGAGAGCGCCTCACCTCTACACGCCAGAGCAGCGCACACCTCAGCAGGAGGGCTCGTCGAACGGGTCCCTTACGCAGGAACAAGTTCTGGCGGAGGTGCAGAAGCAAGTGAAGTTTGAAATGCGTGTACATGAAGAAGAACGCCAATTGTTGGCACAGGAGAACCGGCAGTTGAAAGACATGCTGGAGAGGGTTCTCAATGAAGTGCAAGCTCGTGGGCTAGAAGGTGCTGGACGGACCGATGTGGGTGGAATTTCGCAGGGACCCCAGGGAAGCGGTCATGTTGGTGGCTGCGGTGGCATTCCCGGCGGACTACCCCAACCTCCTGATGTTATCGGCGGATATCCTCCTGTACCGAATCCGGCCCCTGACGTGCATGAACCTCATGATGGAGCTGGAGGGTGTTCGCTCGGAAGTCAACGAGGCCTTGGAGTATCTGGCAGTGATCCACTTGGTGTACGTGCAGGGCAAGAAGGGATGAACCCTGGCCTTGCAGGCAACGGAGGCGGTGGTGCCAATCTCCCGAATGAGCCCGGTGTGACGAGCGTACCTCGGCAACAGCAGACAACGGCGACCATGCCAACTGGACTTCCTGGAGTACTACCTGGGAATCCCCTACAAGATCCTCTAGGCGTCTTGATGCAGGGCATGACACAGTTACAAACGGCAATGTCTCAGACGTTGTCTCTCAAGACAAAGGACATTGAGGTTGTGAAGCCTGGCTTGACAGAGTTACCCCGACTGCAGGACCTCAGCAAGAACTCTGCTATCGACTTCGGTGACTGGTTGCATGGGCTGCAGAATCACATGGGTGACCTCAGTAACTCAAGCAGTCAATGGTGGAATGAGGTTTTAGCTTGTCTGTCAAGGTTTTATTCTGCTTACCTGGATGCCTCACATGTTGGCAAATTGGTGTTGAAGGCCGAGGACTACGAGACCTCCGTCTTACGGGAAGAACGATGGACCCGAGTTGACAAGCGGGCCTCTGCAATGATCTTGGCCAGCCTGCCGGAGAATGTGAGGGCGGAGCTCCTTTCAAGTCGTGTGGTTGGAACCTTGGCCACGTTATGCAGGGTGCTGATTCTTTACAGACCAGGTTCTGTTGCAGAGCGCCAACAAATTCTTCGGGCGCTGGAGTCACCGAATACAGCAGCAACGGCTGCAGATGCAGTGCAAGAGCTCCGTCGGTGGGCACGCTGGGTCGCTCGTGCGACGGATATCGGGATTCAATGCCCGGACCCAAGCGTGATGATTAAGGGCCTTGACTTGATCGTGAAGAAGATTTTGAGTGACCACGCAGACATCAGTTTCAGGGTGTCTATGCTGAGGTATACTTTGGAAGTGGACACACGCCCGACGCTTCAAGGGGCGAAGAGTCTGCAGCAGGCACTCCTTTCTGAGTTGGAGCAGGTGGCCTACAGTGGACGACAGGGTGGAACAGCAGCTCCTGTGGTGAAGGCCATTGCGACAGGAGCTCCTCCGTCTACAGCTGGGAAGCCTGATGGAGCTGGTGGTGGTGAAACCGGAAGCCCGACTCGGCAGCCCCAGGCCAAGGCCAAGACACCTTGCAAGTTTTATCTTTCGGACAAAGGGTGCAGCCGTGGAGCTTCGTGTACCTACTCCCACGACTTCACGAGGAAAGAGCGGATGGGTCGGTGCTGGACATGTGGCTCTACACAGCACCGTCAGGCGGACTGCCCGACAAAGGCTGGAGGAGGAAGTCCAAAGGCAGGTGCTGGGGCAAAGGCTACCCCGGCAGTGAAGACGGTGATGGAGGCTAATGCTATGTCTGCAGCGAGCACAGGACCGGCGTCTACTACCTCTTCCTCGTCGGCTACGGGGGATGTACCAGCCCCAGCTGTACCGGAGGCGGAAATCAAGAACCTGTTGCAGGAGGCCAGCGCGATGCTCAAGGAGATCCGGCAGCTCAAGACGATGTCGTTGACGATCACTCAGGTTCAGAACCAGGCGGTGGGGGTGGGTTGCAGCCCGAGCACGGGCCGTACAGGACTCCTGGATAGCGGAGCAAGTCACCCCTTTAGAGAAGCTACCGAGGACGAGCTCCAAGATGCAACCCAGGTCACAGTCCAGTTGGCTGGTGGGCGTGAAGCAGTCCTGGCACAAGGCAAGAGCGGCACCTTACTCACCAAGAAGACCAAGGACGAGTGCTCATCGCCGATTGTTCCGTTGGGAGCGTTGGTGCAGGAATTAGGGTGTCAGGTGACGTGGTCCCGGCGTGGGGGACTTGTGATACGGCACCCCGATCACGGGGTTATCCGCCCGAAGATGATAGGACGATGCCCGGTCGTTGCCGAGTCACAGGCGCTCGAGCTGATCCACGAGATTGAGTGCCGGAAGCTGCAATCACTGAAAACGCTACAAGGGCGACGGCGAAGGCGTTGTGGATGTGGGACGTCAAGAAGAAGTGGGCACAGCACCTCAGTGACTTTGTTGGAACTGGGGGACGTGTGCCTCAGCTCGCGGCTATGTCGTCGGAAGGATCGCCTTTTACTCAGTGGACTGACTTGGAGAAGTCCCTTCTTACCGAGAATGTTGAGCTCACGGACAAGGCAGGGTGGAGTTACATGAGGGCTATCCCGGGCTCACGCCAGAAGAGGAAGAGGATGCTGAGTTTGCCATGGGTGATTCACCTCTACTCCGGTCCCGGGAAGGGCCTCGACCCCGCGTTCTTGGAGCTTGATGATGGCAAGGTGTTGGTTCAGGTGGATATCAACCGCAGCAAGGCCGAAGACATGAATATGGCTTCCGGGGTTTACCGTGCTTTGTTGTGGGCTGCAGCTACTGGAAGAGTCAGTGGGATCTTTGGGAGCCCACCGACCAAGCCTGAGCTCTTACAGAAGATGATGTGGCTGGCTGTGGTGTCAAAGGCCGCTAGGGCTGTTCATGGAGGTCAACCGGTGTTTGTGATGATTGAGAGTCAAAAGGTGTTGAAGTTGGCTAAGTATGGTGGTCTGGATCGTTGGACTTCGGTGTCTTCTACATGGGAGGCTTTCTTGGAGGCTGCCTGTCTAGAAGAAGTGGAGGACAACCTGGTGACGAATATGAAGATGAGGGAGCCTCTACCGAAGGCTACCGATGACAGCTTGGCTTGGACCTGCGATTTCAAGCGAGCTGTTGTGGAGGCTATCCAGCAATGGGAACGTGAGCCAGAGGCTTTGCAAGTGATCAAGTGGATGAAGAAGTTGGATGCGGACCGGGAGAAGTTTTTGGAAGGCTTTACGGACAAGGAGTTGGAGATGTGGCGCACTCATGTCCGCAACAACCATGTACCATACAATCGACGATGTGGTACCTGCGTGAGGTCTTCGGCTACCGGAAGGGCGCATCGAAGAGTTCGACATCCAAGTGCCTATTGCTTGAGCCTCGATGTTGCTGGGCCGTTTCGGGTTAAAGCGAAGGATCCGAACCACAAGGATTATCGCTACCTGCTAGTGGGTGCTTATGTGCTGCCACGACAACCTTCTGAACTACAACCAGAGTCGCATGAGCCACCGAGTGAACCTTCTGAACTACGACCAGAGTCGCATGAGCCACCTAGAGAACCTTCTGAACTACGACCAGAGTCGCATGAGCCACCGAGTGAACCTTCTGAACTACGACCAGAGTCACATGAGCCACCGAGTGAACCTTCTGAACTACGACCAGAGTCGCATGAGCCACCTAGAGAACCTTCTGAACTACGACCAGAGTTGCGTGATGTACCAGTTGAGCCCTATGGTGAAGAAAAGGATGATGATGGTACAGGTGTTGGGATTGTTACGTTCGACGACGGTGACACAGCTGATGATGGTCCTGACCCTATGGAGGAAGTTTCTGAGAGGCGTGGTTCTTGTATTCGAGATGATGATTGTGACGTCCGAAGAGGCCTTTCGCAAGAGGAGTTCGAGAGAATCTATAACGAGGTTGGCGTGGAGCTTGTCTATGACACCATCTATGTGGTACGCCCTTTGAGGACGAGAACGGCGGTGGAAGTTACAGCTGCTGCGCAAGAGCTCTTTCTGAAGTTGAGAGCTGAAGGCTTACATGTGAGTCGTGTCCATGCGGACAGGGCTCGCGAGCTCCGGGTGGAGCCGCTGCGACGATGGCTCCTTGAAAAGGGGTCTTTGGTCACCTACACCGAAGGCCAAGCGCCTCAAGCGAACGGCCGAGCTGAAGCCGCAGTGAAATGGACCAAGGCGGCTGTCAAGAGATTGCTGGCATCGTCAGGACTCGGCAAGGAGAACTGGGCGATGGCTGCGGGATACGCCGCTCAATGTCAGCTTGAAAGAGTCTTGAAGCATCCAACGTCTACGTTGCCTTTTGGGTCCAAGGTGCATGTGCGATCCAAGGTGTATGGGACCGGGGGGCGCTACGACCTGGACTCCAGATGGAAGGCAGGATGCTATGTGGGCCCGAGTCTAGATGTTCGTGGAGGACATGTGGTGTTGCTGGAAAATGTTGAGTTGGACGAGTACGAGCTCCTACTTCCTATGCCCACGAGGCGCCTCAGAACAAAGGCAGGGGCTAGGGATTTGGATCCGGCAACAGTGCCGGGGGAGCTTTCTTTGAAGTATGACCCTGAGCATCCAGCTGAGCAGTATGCTATGAGGCTGCTGAGTGAGGAGCTGCTAACTCCAGACCAATGTGAAGTTCTGGCGTTGATGTTACCCTCTACAACGGCAGCTCCCAGCCGATTTGGACCGCAGAGCGCTTCTCAAAAGGTTTGGAGCGTTGGAGCCTTTGTTCATGGAGGTGTTGCTGGAGTAAAAACTGCGACAGCTGCTTTCCCAGCGAGCACCAGGGTGTTCGTGAAGTATGTGAAGCAAGTGCAGCCTGATCACCAGTTCAATGCCCTTGCTGTTACAACGGATGTGGGTGCGCAACAACACGTGGATGCACACAATGTTGGTATGAACTTGATTGCGGGCTTGTCGTACTTCAAGGGTGGTGCGTTGGAGGTTGAAGGTCCGGATGGAAAGAAGCTTTTGCCTTTGGATGGAGATCACACCCACCAGCTCTTCGACCCCCGCCTAAAGCACTCAACAAAAACCTGGTATGGAGGATCCAGGGTTGCGGTGATCGCTTACTCTGTTCGGGACAGTGGCAAGCTCATGCAGAACAAGGTCGAGTACCTAGAGGATTTCGGCTTCACGTGGACTCCTCACTTGTCAAGACCTCGTGGCGAGGAGGAGGGTGCAAGACTGAACGTTTTACGTGTGGGCTTGTTGGAAGTAGCACAAGAGCGTGATGTTCCAGAACAACCTCGAGATTCTCCAGAACAAGAGGGCACAGGTGGGGCACTACAACAGGGTGATGTTCCAGAACAACATCGAGATTCTCCAGAACAAGAGGGCACAGGTGGGGTCGTTTTAGACGATCAAGAGCTAGATGTTCGTGCAGATCCAGAGAGTGAGCTCAGTCGTGATGGCGTTGATACTTCGGGGCCTGTGCTCTATTTGACTGAGGACATCGAGCTACTCATAGGGGACCTTGAAGATAGAGCAGCAAGGCTTCGTGATCTGCTTGAGGAGGAGGAGATCATGTGTGAAGAGTATCGCCGTACAAGTCAGGCGACTCGTGGAGTGCTTACAGATGCCCGGGATCAGATCTGTGCTTTCTTGGAGGGTGTCCATGAAGAGCTAGTTGAGCTTGAGCGGGTGCGGTCCACTACGTGTTTGAAGGCAGCAAAGATCTCTACGGCAAGTTCTTCGTCAGATCAGATTGACTACGAGGAGATGTTGAGCAGCATGGAGGGTGACCTCAAGATTGTTCATACGGTTCCGGTTGAACAGGTGAAGCGCAACCTTACAAAGTGGGTCGAAGCTATCCGCAAAGAAGTGAACGCCTTGATCGAGTCAGGGACCCTGAGGCGCATCAGTCTTGCAGAAGCTAGGCAATTGGAGAAGGAATCCCGGGTGACGTTCGCGCCCGCCAAGTGCGTGTTCACACTCAAACCGCCGCAGGAGGCGGGCAAGCAAGCACGCAGGAAGTGTCGGGTCGTAATATGTGGAAATCACGTACGTGATAACCTGGAATTCGGCGACCTATACGCGTCAGGAACATCCTCTGACGCGCTACGAGTGTCGCTAGTTATTGCGGCTTTGAGATGCTGGCTTGGTGCGGTGAGCGACATTACTGGAGCTTTTCTGCTAGCCAACTGGCCTCCCGATCTCCCTAAGTACGGCATCTATCCGCCCAGGGTGGTGAAAGATTCTGGTGTGACAGAAGCAGAAGCGTGGATCGTGGAACGTCCGTTATATGGCTTGAGGGAATCCCCAAGGATATGGAGTTTGTACCGCAATGAAAGATTGAGACGCGCGAGAATCAAGGTGGGTGAGATGATCGTCATTCTACGACCTACGGTTGCAGAGCCGGAGCTATGGATGATTTTATGTGAAGTCACGGGAACCATGCACGGGCTCATTGTTCTCTACGTAGACGACATTGCCTATTTCTCGACAAAGGAAGTTATTGTGGCCATCCATGACTTCATCACACAGGAGTGGCCAGCTTCACCCTTAGAGTGGATCTCAGGCGAAGCCCCAGTGAGGTACCTTGGTGTTGAGATTCGGAGGGAGCCTCGCACTACGGAGGATGGGCGGGCCTCATGGGTCTACACCATCGGACAAGGCGCTTACGTGCAAGACTTGTTGAGGGAGCACAACATGATGGAGGTACAACCTACAAGTTTGCCGGCACCAAAGGAGTGGATCGATGAGGCGGAGTCCTGCGACGATGTTGAGGGTGAATACGAGGAGGCCACACTGAAGTTGGCTCAGAAGCACGTTGGAGAGTGCCTGTGGCTAGCTACGAAGACGCGCCCTGACATAATGTTTGTCACGACGCACGCAGCCAGTTTGGTGTCCAAGAGACCGTCCTATGTTATTCGTTTGAGCAAAAGAGTTCTGGCCTATCTGGCTGGGACGGTGGATTTACGAATGACAATGGGCCCCGTCAACGAGGAGGACGCTCTGGAGTTGGTGGCATTTACTGACGCAAGTTATGCGCCATATGGGAGGCGGTCGTTTGGGGCAGCAGTCATCACCCTGGCTGGTGCACCGGTTGCTTGGAAATCGGGCCGTCAGAGTTTCATGACATTAAGTGTTATGGAAGCTGAATTGTATGCTGCAACCCAGGGGTGTACGCTGCTCAAGTCGGTACAAGCTTTGGTGGCTGAGCTTTTTCCTACAGCTTTGACTTGTGTTTTGGCGGTGGATAACACCTCGGCAGCAGCAATGCTGGCGGGAGGACCGGGTTCTCAGCGGACTCGTCACTTATAGATCAGGGCAAACTATGTTCGAGAGGAGGTGGAGCAAAGACGCCTTATTGTGCGCCACACGCCTGGGTCGATGCAGCTGGCAGACTTGTCTACGAAGATGCAGTCAAAGCTACGACTACACCAGTTGCTGCAGCTTTGGGGTTTTGTTGGCTTTGCGACGAATGTGTTGCAGGAGATGAAGCTCAAGATCCTTGCAGCTTTGATGGTGCTGGCTCAATGTATATGTCCTGCTCGTGCCCAAACAAGTGAACTCAAAGAGCCTTTGCCAACAACCACTTGGGACGAGGCGGTGGTGATGATGGTTGTGGTTGCAATCGTTGCAGTGTTGGTGTGGGAAGCTCTTCGTTTTGGCTACAGGAGAATCCTTCGTTGTCGAAGAAGGTGGCTCAAGGCGAAGAGGCTGGAGCAGGTGTCCCAGTTCGCATCAGCTGCTGCAAGGAGAGAGATTTCAACTACAACAACGGGTCGGGAAGCTACGAGTTCGGTGAGGAGGAGAAGTACCAGGACGAGAAGCCGCTCCTCTACTCCGATAGCCCCTATGACTCCGCCTACAACAAGGGCTTCCACCCCTCCGAAGACGACGAGCACTACAAGGACCCCGAGTATTCCTCGAGGTCAAGACCTACAGCGAAGCCTGCAGGAGCAACCAGCAAGCTCATCAGCGGCACTGGTGAGGCCTTCTACCCCACCGCCGTTGCCGAGATCTACCAGGCTGGAAGAAAGCGAAGAACGCTTTCGTGTGTGCAAGGATACCTTACAGCTGATGACGTGCGAAGATTTGAGATCCGCTTTGAGGCTGGAAGGGATGCCTGTGTCAGGTGTCAAGGGCGACCTGGCCGAGAGGCTTGTACACAAGTTGGTGGCTTCAGACGTTACCAGCAAGCAGTTTCGCTACGTGCTTTACTTGTGGCGATTGAAGTCCTTGAACTTCAAATGCAAGCTACGGTGGGAGGATATCAACAGCAAGTGCCGAGTTTCAATGTGGATCTCCGCATGGAAGGATGCATGAATGGAGTGAGTAATGCTCCTAAATTAGTCAATGACTGGTTACTGGTGTGGAGCGCCAGAACGGTGCAACATGTCTGAGTACTCCAAGGCCGTGGGCCCGGAGTAAGGAGGAGTGTTGATGGTGAAGCTTCCAGCTACATGTTTGCACCCTTTTGTGTCAAGTCTGATGACTGAGCCAAGACTGAAGCGTCTTAGCATGTAAAGCTGAGCAGTCATACATGTGTGAGAACCAGAAGTTCCACCCGGCAAGTTTTACACGTCGGTAGAGCAAGCCTCATACTTGTACAATTCAGAGGCAGAAGCTTTCGAACAGGCGTTGTTGTGAGAAAATTCGTGAACTGCGCCCGTTGCCATGGCCGTTAACCCCTGAGCTCCGCTGTCTAAACCTACAGCATGATCCCCAGTGATCAACAGAAAGCTTGCACGCTGGTAAATCGCCGTGTCTATATCCCTGCACAGAAGCTCCTTCTCGGCTTTGGAGGCGGCTTTCTGAGCCAATGTGAGGATGCTCCGGAAGTCCTGGGGCAGTCTGCTGGCTCTGCCATCGCTAGGATTCAGGAGACTTCGGATACCAAAAGTCAGGAAAAACTCTCAACCCTCAGAAGCTACCAGAGGCATTCGCCAAAAACGCAAAAGCCCCAAAGCAGTATCCCGCACTTGCTGTCGGCTTCTGTAGGTGAACAGGTCGACACACGCAGAGACGGAGATCGCAAGGTGCAACTGTAGATGTGCAACCACTCAAGGCTTAGGCATGTATGTACAAATATCGATGCTGCGCATGCGCTTTTACAGGCATGGCTCCTGTGTATGTACACTTCAATGTGGGTAGTTTTCAAAACTAGGGTCCCCTTTTATAGGGTCCTTCTTATAAGGGTGCCGTACTATATAGGGGACCTAAATAGGGAGCCTAATTTAGAGAACCACCCATGTGCACACACCGATGGAAAAAAAGGATCGGCCTGGGAGTTCTTTGAGACCTCAGCGGAGCATAGTAGGGCTTAGGACAGTCTAGGACTTAGTCTTGGGGGATGCTCGAAGCTACAACTCAGGGGCCTTAATAGTTCGAACATGCGGGTGAATATATGACTTATTCTAGCACATTTATGGTTTCTTGGGTGTTGGACCGTGGGCTTTGGAACTTCGGGCTCAAGGTCTGTGTAGCGCGGTGCTTGAAAGATCCTGGAGGCGCAGGAGGTACCGTCTTCAAAACGGAAGACCCTAAACCCCCGAGGGTGCTTCCAGTTCGAGATTCAACCTGCTTTGACCCGATCCTCAAAGTAGTGCGTTTCTTTGCCTCATGAAGTGCTGACATCAAGAGACGGTTACAATCAGAACTGCTGATTCTTGTGGATCCTCTCCTTTATGGGGCTGTGTGCTGCGGACAGTCTTCTGGCCAGTAAAATCTATGTTACCGATCCACCTGAATTGCGTGCCTTGGGGTAGTAATGGATTTCGTCGGAAAAGCACTAACATTCAGTGCATCTTCAATCGTACCCACACGGCACCTTCCACATATCATTTTAACCGACATCTGCAGTCAAGCTCATGAAACAGAAGCCCAATCTAAAATCCTAATGCCCCAAATCACGGCCCAAACCCCACGATCAACGCCCAATTGCCGGAATGGTGGCTTTGCTCAAATCGCACCATCGCTCAGCGCTGAAAGCGTTGCTCATCGGCCTGCACCAAGCCGACAAATAATTAATCACGTTGTGGATGGCATGGAAACTCCTACTATATTGTTGCACTTCTTAGGGAGCAAGCTTTCATTGTTTGAAGCGCTCGGTACACTTCACTCTGTAAGCTTTGCACTCTTCGTGGTGCGTTTGTAGGCGAATCTGGTCACATGCACTTGAACGCGGTGCTACAGGCATGAACAAGAGAGACCCCAGGCATCTCGTCGGATCTTCTCAGTCTCTGCATGCTCCTAAGTTTTCTAGTTGACAATCGCACCGCTATGTCATACATCTGCCGGGCCTCGCCACTGCGCTGCTGCCATGAAGCCAGCAAGCCTGGTTTCTCCGTCAGAAACTAGCTTATAGTAATAAGTTGTAACCATAGTTCTTATTCTTATTCTGTTTATTAACTATTGTTGCTATTTTTATCCGGTCTCCGACTTTAAGACTGGACTGGGACTGGATGTGACCAGAGTCGAGGGCGCATCTTTCGATTTTGCAGTCCAAAGCACCTTGGTGTCCTCAAAGTAGGTGAACACCTCCTGAAGGCAAGGGACATTGCGCAGGAGTTCAACGTCCTACACCGAGAAACATCGCATCAACCTGCTTTAGGTTTTTAAAGTATATAGGGTCAGATCAAAGTTGGCCATGCTATACTGACTTGTCCATGCTGATCCAGGACTTTCTCTGCAAGCCCAAGTGCGCAGTAAAACGTATTCCGGCAAGTGTTCCTCAGCTCTCGGAGTCGCCACAAGTCTCCGCTGCACATGGCCATATAAGCCTGCTCTGAGTGACACAGAACAGCATTGGTCCGGACCGACCAGGCTGCGACAACACCAGAAATCAGCAACAATCCCTTGAAGACTCGGAAGAAACAAGTCAAAGCACAGGGCATTGCAGCTTCTACCAAACTTGCACAAACCTTCAAAGCTCACCGTGCAACCGTAGCACTGGCACACGTTGTAATCCGCAACATACCCGCCGTTGAGGTCGGGGTGATCCGGGTCATCATAACCTTAGCCGCGCTCTGCTTCGAATCCAAGCCATTGGGTCAGCATGTGCACTCTGATATTTACCCCACTCTCTCTTGTTGCGTGAAGACTTTCTTGCTAAATGTCCTTGCCTTGTGCCCTCTCCAGTGGCAGCAGCTTACATTGGATCCCGAAGCAGCATACGATGCCTGCTTGCGGCATGCCCCACAGCACAGCCTGTGAAGACACTCACCAAAACTTCTTTACAAATCTACATATGTGCCACCCTCACCCCCCACCCCATCCCAAAAAACGTCTTGCTTTGCATGATTTCAGCGTCCTGTACCATCTAGAAATCATCCCATGACAGTGAGACTACCACGAGCATAGCATATTGAACTCATATAGTTGAGGATATGTCTTTAGGAACAATAACCTCTAGGCAAAGCATCAACACATAAGAGTAATAAGCTAAAAGTTATTCTTCCTATTATTCTTATCGTTATTATTATCATCGTGGTTATGCATATTCTTAGCTTTTACTGCATTAAGACAAAGTAAGAATTTTTTCCTGTCCCATCGCCAGGCCGCCGAAGCCTTCATGCGCACAGCTTCTGCTCAAGATAGGTGCAGCCTTGTCTCATAAAGCTGATGCAGTAGTTTTGCGGGTCTACGGTCTGATGCAGTGGTCAAGGCAGAATTAGCTGGAACTAGCTGCCAGCTCCCACTATCGGAGTCGGGATCAGGATGCACTGATTTTCTGACATCGTGTTCATGTAGGCTCAAGATTCGATGCACTGCACTTCCTCACGGAAGCTGGTTAGGCTTGACACCATCCCCCCCTAGAACCTGCTCTGCGTCCGCGCGGCTAGGCCCAGTGCCAGACTCTGCAGCCAGATGGCTCCCAGCCCCAAAGCGATACCTCTTCCAAACTGAGGACATAGACACACACACATACAGATATGCATATATATATACACACATATAGCATATATATATATAGCATATATATATATATGTGTGTGTGTGTATGTATGTATGTATGTATGTATGTATGTATGTATGTATGTATGTATGTATGTGTGTATGCATTGTATTATATCAGAGTTTACTATACTACGCTATATTTCATTTTATTTTCGTACAGGATACTATTTATTATATACTACCTGTTATGTCTGAGAATCGCTTTTGCCTTGGTGTTGATTCGCGATCTGCATTGTTGATTGGGTTTAGAAGCAGACTGCGACACAAGTGCTCCAAGCACGCACGTGTCTTTGTGCATGCGTCTGGCAGAGACCAGGGGATTGCAACAACAACATCGAACAAAGGGTGCCGTCGGCAACGTGATGATTCGTTGCTTCTTTGCGGAACTTTGGGCACGCCGACGAAACACCACCAGTTGATCCCTGCGACCCAGCCCCGATTGATTGACTGTCAGAATCTGATTGGCAGAAGCCTCGTGGCATCATGGGCCAACTCGCACTCAGCTCTGCGGGCATGGCATAAGTTGTTGGTCTTGTAGAAGGACGACTTGGTGGGGCTGTGGGTGCAATGGCTGAGGGAGATCACGTATCAGAGCCTTGTACTACCCTTGTCTTTTGGAAGGCTCCGCATCCCCTTAAACACAAACCGCACTACAGCATGGACTGCCGCTCTGCCAACTTAGCAAATGCGGCTGCAGAAGGGCATCTGGCTTCAGCCGGCATTCATGCTTCGCCGTGCGAGCAGCAGCTGTAAGCCCAAGAAGCATGCATCCATGAAGCTACATTCCTGAGGTCCATTCCGGAACAGCTAAGCGCAAAGGCGGGGGCCTTGATAATTAGAACTGGGTTTGGGGGTATATTATACTATAACTACAATTTAGGGAGCTCTCAAAATAGTATAGGTAATTACCAAGGCCCCCTATATTAAACATGCTGGAGCCGTCTCGCCCCTTTTTTTCTCTCGACGCTGCTGGGATTTTTTCGGGTTAAAAGTTAACCCAGGCTGGCCCAGGCCCCCCCCTCGTGGGGTTGCGGGGACCCGCCTATGACAAACAGTCTGATGGGGCGAACGCCGAACGATGCTATGACTATGACAGAATACTAATCAGAATATTTTGTCCTTTTGGAGAGAAGGCTTCAACAGTACAACTCTTTACTGAGGGAAACCCATATAGCCTTAGGGCTCGGGCGGCTCGGGACTGCACACCTGAGCCGAAGACCTGAAGCTAAGGACTCCGGGCTGCTTGTAGTAACGCAGCGCCTTTGCATTCACCTTCGGGGTGATATCGAAGATGTGCCTCTCTTGCTTAGTTTAACCGGACCCCCAAAATCATAGCTTTTTAAGATACGCCAAAAAGTTGAAAGTTC